CAGATAAGGAAGCTAGTGCATAGTGATGTCAAAATAATGCATATTTTAAGTTTTGTTCGTCTGCTCCATTACATATGCAAATTATACCATTTTTGTCATTATTTAAAAATGTATGCACTTCTCAAGTCTCTCCCAGTTTTTACTGTAAATTGAGCTACTCTTTTGTTTTGAGTTGTTGTCTTTGTTGAGGTGGCAAAAGCTAGCCCTAACTTCTGTGTTAACAGGTGAGCTCTGTATTTTATAACCACCTTGTTTGTGGGCTGGGGAGAGGCAAGAAAAATAGAGCTCCTGTCTCAGGGCTGTTTAGTCTGTCTGTACTTGTGGTGTTGGCTGTCAGGGGGAATGTCAGGACTGTCTGGGATTTAGCCATCACTGCTGCTCTTTTTACGTCAGGGCAGCAAATGAAAGGTAGTTTGGGGAAGGGAAAAAACCAAAGCCCTTCTTAAGCCATCTCTGTCTTCTCTAGTCCAGGGTACACTTTCCCTTACACGCAAACTGTGCCAGTCTCTGTTCCCTAAGGTGTTAATTGCAAATACTGCTTCAAAAGCCATCAGCCTTCCCATCTGTCTTATGGCATTTCAGGGTTGCTTTGGACAAGGAAGTCAGCAGTCTATGCTAGATTGTCACCTTTTAAAGAACACAGTGTACACATTTTGGAAGCCTCAGTCAAAGCAAATTATAAATCTCTAACTTTACTTCATATATTGGCAGTTATTCTGTTTCATCAGAAGTAAAAATCAGCTAAGGAAGAATACTTACATTGAAACATTTTATGTAGGATTTTAGGAGGAGAGTTCCTTGTCTCCTGAATATGAGCAGAAAAACAGGAGAGAATTGACTGAATTCTTCTTTGATTTTATACAATACATACTATTAAAAGGTGTCCAGTTTGGCTTGGCGCCTGTGGTTCAAGCAACTAAGGTGCCCACCACATACACCAGAGCTGGTGGGTTCTAATCCAGCCTGGATCCGCCAAATGACAATGATGACTGCAACCAAAAAACAGCCAGGTGTTGTGGCGGGCACCTGTAGTCCTAGCTACTTGGGAGGTGGAGGCAGGAGAATTGCTTGAGCCTAGGAGTTGGAGGTTGCTGTGAGCTGTGATGGCACAGCACTCTACCCAGGGTGACAGCTTGAGACTCTGTCTCAAAAAAAAAAGGGTATCCAGTTTGTAACAGTTTAAAACATATATTTTGAGGTTTCCAAAATTAGTCCATTTTTTTTTTATCTTCTGGAAAATTGAAAACTTGTGCCAAATATAAAGTAACATACACTAAAAACATTTCATGATATCAACTTTAAGATGGTCTGTGTTAAGGAATGACTTTGATCTCAAATTCTGATATAATCCTGTGTTCCGTCCGTTTATAAACAGGTTCAAAGTGCTGCCTGAAGTTCTATATCGTATCCTTACACTTGAAACAGTTCTGATTAGTAACAATCAGATTGGATCTGTGGACCCTCAGAAAATGAAGACCATGGAAAATCTGACCACACTGGACCTTCAGAATAATGACCTCCTACACATTCCACCTGAACTTGGCAATTGTGTGAACTTGAGGTAATGGCACCATTCTACCATGTTCTACTTATTTGATTGATGCGTTGAAGTGATTTGTTTTTCTTGGTGAAGTAAACTTGTAAGGAATTTAAATAAAAGGTTTAATATCTTCTTAAAAATAATAGGTAACAAAATTCAGATTCCCAATTTTGTTTTTCAAATTTTACCAAATATATTTTTTCAGTTTTGTTTATATGGCATAACATAATACACACATATACACACATGTATATAGGAACTGTTTCTAGTGGTACTTTTCTCACCACTGTGTATATTTGTAACCTGAAACTCTTTTGCATAAAAATGTCAGAGAAATATACACTCCTCAGCTTTGCACACAGAGTTATTTGGAATCTGATTACAGACTCCTGCCATTCCATCGAAGCCCGGCGTGTTCTTTTTCCCCCTTTACATTTGCTCTTCCTCAGCCTAAGACGCCTCCACCCTGCTCTCATCAGTAATCAACCTGAATGTTGCCTTGGACAACCTTCCCTATGCTCCAAGTGGACTTAGTCCCAGTATGATTGCCCATCATGCTTTGTTTGGATGTTTGGATTCATTCTTTAGAGTTACCTGGTGGCTAACAGGGGTGTTCAACCTTTTTTTCTTTTCTGCCACACATTGGACAAAGGCGAAGTGTCTTGGGCTGTGCATTGGCCAGACAAACACTAACCACAGCAGATGAGCAAAGAAGAGAAAGGTCCGCAAATACTTTTCATGATATGCAACAGCATAGTTAAGCAGAACAGTCCTCACATAATCTGCGTGCAGCCTCTGGGCTGCAAGTTGGAGACCTTTGGTAGAGAATAACAATGCCCAGTAAGTGCTTGTGAGGTTACTATAAAGGGAATTTGCAATGGCAACAGAAAGCCAAGTCACTACACAGAATGTGTTGGAAGTAAGAAGTAATTGATTACTGAAAACTGCATGTTAATGCTTTGGCATGTTTTACTTTACTGGATCAACACTGGCATCCGCTTTGGGACCTCATATTAGTAAATCACAAGAGGCAAACACAGTTGATTCTCGTTGTTTATGGTAGTTACATTCAACATGGTCCTATAAACTCTGAATTGGTTGTTCTTGGAGAAGTAGTGGGTTAGTGCTTGTAGGAATCTAGTTACACAATTTTCATCAACCAATCAATATATAACCTTATTTTATGTGTGTTTCTGCATAAAGACACCTTATTTAATTCATGCCTGGAGAAAGCTTACCTCACACATATATTTTCTCCATGAGGCACCTTTGTGCTTAGGAAAACTAGACAGCATTTTAACACATGGGGGCATTAAAAAGTGAAATCCCCAACAAGTAGTACAAACATTGAAAAGCGTGGCACTAAATGGGCACAGAAATGATCCTAGTTTGTAGTAAGAAAGCCAAACCAAGAGGAGATACGTGACCTTGTTCACCCCCAGCTGAGAATGTGCCCGTTACGTGACTCAGACTTGATACAGTTCAGATCAACTGTAGAATCTGGTGCAAATCCTTTGACTTGAACTCACATAAACACTTAAGCTATACAAATTAACGTAAAAGTCTCTTCTAACTGAAGATATTTCATTCATTATTTAAAGGAACAGAACAAGCTTTTAAATCTTATTTTAGAACATGTAAATAGATTTAAAATGTACATCTGTCTGGTCAAGGGAGGAAGAAGACAGATGTGTGTTAATGTTTTGGGGAGCTGGGGGTGCTAGTGATGATACATTAATTGTATTATAGTTCCTGGCATGAGTACTTGTTAGTTAATTCATTTAAAAACTTGTCTAAATCTAATTTGACCATTTAGTATATAGTCATTATAAGATTGAAAAGAGGCGGGCTAGAAGGTAGTTCAGTTGATATGTCCAACTGAGTAGCTTTTTAATCTAAGTTTTTTTACTTCCTAAGCTTGTATTTCTTCATTTATGTAATAATAACTTTAATAATACCTACATCATAGGATTGTTAAGAGAATAGGATTAAGAGGTAGTGAATGAAAATTACTTAGCACAATATCTTTCTCATAATAAATATTCAATTAATGTTTGTTTGTTTAGTCATAATTCTGTTTAAATTCTCAGATTTGAAAGGTGAAAATGTTTTAAAATGCACAAATTTTATTTATAAAACTGCAAATGAAATAGAAAACAAACCTTGCTAATAGAAAATGTTTAAGTTCAATTTCTCTCTTTTTTTCAGAACATTACTACTGGATGGAAACCCATTCCGTGTCCCTCGAGCAGCCATACTTATGAAAGGAACTGCTGCTGTCCTGGAATATTTGAGAGACCGAATTCCTACTTAAATTGGAGTCATTTCTTAATTCTGGTCATGTTGATTCTTAAAAGAATATAACGTTTTGTTTTAGTATTATCTTAACAATGATTGCTATCATTGATCTTAAAGTTTCCTGGTATCACCTAGCCATTTATATAACCGGCCTGCGCCACGTTCACTGCCACTAAATATTTTTACATTGATGACGATTTAACATTTTGTACGGTGTTGTCTATGATATGTGCTCCACATAGCATGCTCATAAATTTGTGACGAATGTTTTACATAGGTTTTATCCCATTCACTTTCATTTCTTATAGCAAGCAGTTTCTTCAAAAGTTAATTTTTATTTAATGTGACTTAATGTTTTTATACTACAGCATTTTTGTAGAACTGTTTTTTATTTCTTTTTATATTCCAAATAATGTGACCAATTGACTTGAATATGACTATTTAGCGTCTACCTTTTACTTACATATAAATTGAAATTAATTTTACTGAATACTGTTTTTTGGCCTTTAAAGAATAAGACCTTTCATTACTCATGATAGAATTTTTATCATACGGTTGGTCTCAGTACAACTTTTAACAGTCACTGTCTTGTTTTAATCTAGTTAAAATGTTTCTCTTCTACCTCTTAGGCATTATCAACTCTGATAAAATGATTTCATAAAACAGGGGAAAACAGACTTATACCTGTCATTTTAGGGCTAATGAAACAGTAATGAAGAGAAGGGGATTGGAAATGTCACAGGAATGCTACTCTAGATATAATTATTGGAGAAAATAGTGCGCATGTTGTTACAACTGCTCTCACAGTGTAGAATTTAAAACTTGCCAATATTTTTAATGATGTCTTGGTATTGTTTTCATATAATAATCTAGTACTTTTGGATTCAAGACAAAGAGATAATCTGCGTGTTTTCCTTCAATGAGAGTGTGAGCATTTAAAAATACCTTTCACTCCTTCAAATATTGAAGATCTCATCTTATTGACTCTGTAGAAAACAGTAACATATACCATATAGAAATTTTGAAATGTACTTTGTTTAAACACTAAACAGTTATTTGTGTTCCTAATCTACTCTCTGTGTGTGTTTTAACCTAATATTGTATGTCTTTTTTTTTTTTTTTCCAGTTTTTGGCCAGGGCTGGGTTTGAACCCGCCACCTTCAGCATATGGGGCTGGCGCCCTACTCTGAGTCACAGGCACCGCCCATATTGTGTCTTTTTATTTCTAGCACCTTAATTTTAAAGTTTGCTTGTAAACCTTTTTTTTTTTTTAATCTTTCTTTTGATTTGACTTGATATTTTTGAGACAGGGTCTCACTCTGCTGCCTGGGCCAGAGTGCAGTAGAGTCATCATAGCTCACAGCAACTTGAAACTTTTGGGCTCAAGCAGTCCTGCCACCTCAGACTCCTGAGTACTTGGGACTGCAGGTGTGCACCACCAGACCCGGCTAATTTTTTCTTTTTAGTGGAGATGGAGTCTTGTTCTTGCTAAGTCTGGCCTCAAGCAGTCCTCTCAGCCTGGCCTCAAGCAGTCCTCTCAGCTTGGCCTCTCAAAGTGTTAGGATTATAGGCATGAGCTGGTGAGCCCCTTGTAATCTGATAAAACTAGAACTTGCAGTTATGCAGGGGTTCTCTTAAAGGGAATCTGTCAAGAGTAAACTCAGTTTAATAAAAATTAAATTCAAACATTTTTGCTTCTATAAAATAATCAGAGGTAGGTTGTTCAGTCATAACACTTAACCATATGATTCTATTAAGTAGCCAATTAAATAGCATGTATATCAATTTTTATATTATAGATAGGTAAATAGCTTTTGGATGATTAAGGCATGCTCATATTATGAAAAAAATCACTGCTAATAATACACGTGCATAATAAAAGTTACATTTTTCAAATATTTGGATTACTAAGTTTATGGTTTTGTTTTAAAAAGCAATGCCCTTTTCATATCACAACTCTGTCACTAAGACGTCTGCTTTGATAGTAAACAAAAGACACTTTACAATAAGGGACTTTTATTATTTATACAATAAGGAGACTTTTATGTTATTCAAAACACTTTTTTAAATACTGAAAAAGTTGAGTACACCAAAGCCGAAAAATGGCTCTGCTATACCCTGCACAGCGCTACGGAGTCCCTGTGTTCTGTGTCTGGACAGAAAGCATCTTCAAACTGCATTCTAGTCACACTGTACACCTTTACCAATTAGTATCAGTACATAAAATAAAACAGGAATACCACCTTGCGTTTGCAATTTAACTGACAAAGTAATTAATTTCACTGATCAGTAAATTTAAAATATAGATTCATAGGACTTCTTTGCACATAAAATGAAACAGCTTTAAAGGTCATTATGGTCTCAAAAAATGGTTAAGTACATTCACGATTTATGTTAATAAAGTAGTAGATATGTCTTCATTCAGTTTTCTTTACATCAATATGTAGTTCAGCTAAAAAGTATGTTAATCTTGATATAGTAGTCTTTCAAACACATACAAAAATGACAATCTTTTATATATCATTTAAGCTCAAAATCACAATTATCTCAAAATATTAATTACAATACAGCCATTTCAGTTAAACATGCTGTGATTTGATTTTTTTATAAAATGATAAAATTTTTTTATTAAAGTAAGCAATTTGTTTTGAATTGGCTAGCATATACCCAAGTAGAAAACCTTAAATGTTAAGAGGTGTTTTCTGCCCCCTCCCACCCGAATTTGTATTCAGCCACCTAGGCTAGCAAAGAGACAGAAAAGGCCCCAATTTATAAAGATTAAGCCTCTTTTGCTACACTGCTGTGGCTTGTGGGCTCTTCCATAAAAGCTTTACAAGGGGTGTGTCCAACTCTGCAATGAAAGGCATGCATTGATACGCAGTTTGTGTAAAATTCCAGTGTTTACTAGTGCGGGTTAAAACGTTCACAAAGACTGCAAAGGGAGTCACAGAGAAGCACTTCACCTGCCAAGTGGATGGTGTAAAATTGAAAACTACTTTTCTTTGACATCAGTTCCCAATTAAAATTCCTTCTCCAGCTAAAGGAGCTCTGATTACTTGGCCTTCAGATATCACTGTTTGCTGCACATATGGTAGTGAAGTCTTATGCCTTAGAGGATGCAAGTCCAGAGACTTTCTGCCTTTACAAAAATAACGATGACAAGTTGCATCGCTGCCTATGAATTTTTCTTAAACTTACAGAAGAGTGAAATATTTCACTAATTGAGTTATATGATCTCAAATAAAAAAGAAAATTTGTGTATATCTGTATGTTTGGCATATGGGAAAATATTAATTTGTATAGGTGGAATTAGAACTTCTTTATTGAGTAATAAAAGGATTATGCCCCCAAATAACTGAGGTCAAAATTAAGTAAGAAATAGTTTAGGAGATAAATAATTTTCATAGATACTTAAAACTCCTAAAAACATCATATCTAGTATCATTTACTATAATTCTTAACCAATCTTCCACTATCTTCCTTCAGAATTGCTTCTCTGAGTTTAAGATTTCTTTTCTGAATAGAAAGAGACCATAGTTGAGATGATGGTTTACTTATATACAGCTAAGTGGGGGGCGCCCTCAGGTGGTTACAAGTGGGAATAATAAAACCACAGCGCTTGGAGGGAACCTACAGCAACTTTGCTGTAATTTTGCAAGGTTATTTGCCATGGTCTTTGAAATCTACAAACTGAATTCAGCAGATGTGCCTTTGGTTTTCCATGAGGAAAAAGCTCCTCCTTCCTGTGAAGACAGTGTCATCGTCCTTAAGCTTCCTTTAGTCCCCTGCACTGAGTACCAAGAGAAACCTGATTGGTTCTTCAGGCAAAAAAAAAAAAAAAAGAAAAAAGAAAAATGTGATTTTCCTTTCTATCAATTATTTTTCTCCTCTTCATTCTAAATAGAAAATAGCAAAACTTGCATTTTCAGGGAGGAGAATATAGTTGAAGACACCGAAGGAAAATGCTTACACATCCCCAAAGCAGAAGTTGTCCACGTCTATTGCTTTCCATGGACACTAGGTGTCATCAAAGCTAAAACCAAATTTGCTAGAGTGAAACCTACCAGTCCTAACAGACTGAACCCGAACCCTTAAGACTAGCAAGAGTCCTCTCAGTGGAAAGACTCTACGAGCATTGAAAATAAAATTTATTTCAACAATAACATTCTGAAAATAAATTTTCAATCTGTGTGCCTGAGAATTTCATCTTGGTTTTCCTGTGGGCCTTCCAAAAAGTTATGTAAGATTTCTTGACTAATACATACTCTTAGAAGAGGCCTGGGGAAGGGTAAGAAGGATGGAGGGATACGAAGAAATACAATGTGATTTCTTTTGTCCATTTGTCAAATGCGTTCCCTAATCTGTCATTAAAGGTCAGTTGAGCTGCATACCCCGGCATTATTTAACTTCCTTATTTTAGCTGTGCAAAAAAATGCTCAAAGAAAAATGCCTTCTGTGTCTGTGTGTCTCTACACAGACACGAAACCTGAGTCACAATAAAAGTTTTTAATATACGAAAATTTTTCTTAATGTAGGAAAATAACCTTTAAAGAGCCAAAAATACCTCTGTACAATATAAGCAGCTAACTTTAAAAATGCAGTGTGCGTATTACGTATAAGACCCAGCAGAAGAGAGATTGTTTATGCTTGATGGTTTAACTACAGCTGAGATAACCGCATTTTTATTTTTAACATCTTATTTTTATTCCCGTGATTTCATTAAGTTTTATTTTTAATAAAAGCACATTCAACTAAGTGCTGTTTAATTTCTGACAGTTCCTGCTTTTTTCTATATTGAAGACATAGGAGATCTGGGTTCACTGGGCATATTGCCTAATGCCAAGCCACAGTGGGATTCTAAAATTCAAAACAAGTACGTAATCCACTATTAAGAGAAACATTTGCAAAAATACTATTTAGACAGTTGGTCCAAAGTCTGCATGAAACTGTTCTCACTTGCAGGCGCCCTTTTCACAAACCATTAGCGCATAACCTTTCTTCCTGCTCCATTTCCTTAGCTCTGGTGTGTTTACCTTTTTTGTACTTGAACCTTGAAATGTCTCAGCTGAAGCTCCCCAGCCCACGTGCTGCCTCAGTTACAGTTCCTTCTTATCTGCACCCGGGTATCTCTTCCTCTTTAGGGGCCCAGAACTCTGGCATGACTCACGGGCCCCCTCTCTCGGGTCACTTTACCCTTCAGGGCACATATGCTTGAACATTCTACTGTCTCATCATTAGACCCTGGCTGAAGCTACAGCCAGGCTTGCTGAGGAAATTTTATAGAAAAAGTTGCTTTTCTATGTTGCCCTGGCTGTCCTTGTCATTAATTATGCACTGATGTTGGTTAAGCCCCCGACACTG